TTTAAACTAGTATTTTTACTATTATTTTTAGTTATAAAATTTACTAAATTAGTTTTATTAATATTATTTATTCTAATTTTATAAGCTTATAATATTTTTTAAATATTTATTTTTTTATATTTATATTTCAAAATATTATTAATTTTTTATTTTATTTCAAAATTCTTCTTGTATCTACTAATTTAAATATTTTTATTCAAATATCTATATTTAGTATATTAATATATAGTACTATAAATATAAAATAGTAAAATATTATTTCTAATTTTAAATTATATTTAGCTTTATATTTTAATTTTAAAAATATTATTAAAATTATTAATAAAATCATTAATAATAAAAAAATTATATTATATTTTATTTTATTTATAATTAATATTATATAATAATATTTAATAAAATTTATAATAATATTATAGAAAAAGTCTTAATTCTCTTCTTTTTGATTATATATAAGAATAATATATATAGAATTAATTTATTTATTTACTATAATTAGTTTCTTAATTATACAGGCCTTATTTATTACATTTAGATTTTTTATATTTTTAAAAATTTAATTTTAATATTATAACTAAATAATTAGATTTTCAGCCTTTAGAGCTTTTATTAAAAATATTTATTATTCTTTTATTTCTTTTTATTAATTTAGTTATAATAGATAGAAATATTCTTTTAAAACCTTAAAGATAATATAGAAGTATTTTTTCTTTATTAATATTTTTATAATTAAATTATTAATACTAATAACTAATTAATTTTAGAATTTTTTTAATATTTACTACTCTCCTTTATAAAAGTTTTATTTCTTTTTATAAATGCTTATTTAATATATATATTTCTTCTATTTATAATTATTTATATTCTCTAGTGATAATTTAATTATAAATAATTTCCTATAAAAGTTTAGTTTTTTTTCTAGATTTAGCTATATAAAATTTTAAATATATTTTAATTTTATAAAATTCCATATAGCTCTATACTAGATATTCTAATTTTATTTAAATTTAAAAATAATAATATTAATAGTTTTTATATTTTCATTTATTTTAGTAATATTAAATAAATTATTAATATTAATACTATTATTTAAGCTTTTATAATTAATATAAGGAAGTTAATATATAATATATTTATATATACTTTATTAAGTATTAGCTAGATTTATAACTATTAAAATAGAAATGGTAGTAGTAAAAATAATTAGTTAAATTAATAATAAGAATAAATATATAAATATAAAAGGTAATTAAATTAAGCTTATTGAGGTGTAGCTATATAAAGAGTTTTCATCGCCGTAAGTACAGATGCAGGCTGACTAAGCTACATCCTGACAGAAGCTTTTTCCCACGCGAAGGATTGGCTGAGTCAGCTGCCGTCGGCTATCTTATCTCCACGTGATGATTTTATCCCGCAAAAACTTGGCACACTTGCTTATTTTCTCTTGGCATAAAAACACCCTTAGAAGGCACGAAAGCTCGACTTTTCTTGCTGGGAGCAACTCGGTAGCAGCAGCAGCGTGCTGTCTGGCTGCGCCGAACGAAAGGATCGTTAGTAGGGCTATACATGGCTTGTAGTTGGCCAGGGATAGCGGCCCTGAACTTCATATTCTGGCCTTTGGCTCGACTCGAGGCGGTGACTGAAGGGCCCAGGCACTCAGGTAGTTCGTCAGGCTGCATATCTAACTAGGGAACGGGAACACTTAGATTAATACGAAAATCGCACGGGGGAACGATGCGTCATACTGCGTGCCGCTAATTGGCCGTTAAGGTGACCCTCTGGGTTCCTTGCAAACCCTCTGGGTCCCGGCTTGTCATCTGGAGATCGCAGATTGGTGGAGAAACCAACAACCCACAAGGTTTGCTGTAACTAAAGGGGACAAAAGGACCCAGTGATGCTGTCGGAATCAGCAGTGATTCTCGCAGAGAAAGTATTTAATCTTCCCTGGATCCCCCCGTTCGCCCTTGTGTCGTTCTCACCGACAGCAAGTCCGTTGCATACATCATACCGTTCCGGGATCCTGTGGCCGTTACCGATAGTTCTGCGTTTCAATAGTGAGCCCTCCAATGAGCGAAGGAAGACATCAGAGTGTTGTCTGGAGTATAAGAATGAGCCTGATTAAATAACACTACGCCTCCGCTGTCGCCTTTCTGCGGCCTTGTTTAACTACTCAAACCCCTGGTTGTTTCTTCATTTTTTCTTAACAATTGTTGGAGACAGTGTTAGTCACACCAGCTGCTCCCACATCTGCACTTTTTGATATCCCGAGCTGAGTTATACCCGGATAGCCCTCTTCACCAGTGTCAATTCCACTCCCCAGCTTGAACATCTGAGCGAGATTGCTCGTGGGGCCTTAAGTTTGCTTCCGCTGTCCAAGCACTCGCCGCGTTCCGCTCCGCCCCGGCGGGAGTTTGAGTGTGCCTCGGCAGGACATCCACAGCGGTGGAACCAGAGCCTCCAAGGTTTTCGACGCTTTAGCTGAGCAGCCGGTGCAAAAGCCTGGCATGCCTACTCTTGCAGTCACCAATTTCAACGTTGTATGTGCTACCTTGGGTGGCTTTATCACGCTCTTTGGTCTGGTCTCGTACCTGTTTAAAGAACAGTTCTATTTGTCGGAAGCACGTAAGTTACTCAGACCTTGTGTCACCGGGTGAAAGTAGCGTCATCTAACATTACTATGTAGTGATCTCCCTTCTTGCGGGTGTTACCTTCTCCCCGCATGCTGCCAATCTCATAAAGCCGATAGACTATGCTCTGGGCAGCCGAGAAGCCTTAGATGACATCACTCTTTACTTCAGCCGCCTAGTCCTGGGAGTCCAGCTTGTTCTTGCTGGTGTCCAACTACCCAGCCGCTATCTCCTTAAAGAATGGAAGAGTCTTTCTCTTCTCCTTGGCCCGGGGATGCTAGGCATGTGGATATGTAGCAGTCTTGTTATCTTTGCCCTCGTGCCAAAGCTGCCGTTCCTCCATGCCCTTGCTATTGCCGCATGCATCACCCCCACAGACCCGGTGTTGTCTAACTCTATCGTCAAGGGCAAGTTCGCTGACAAAAACATACCACGTCCCTTGCAGAGGATTATCATAGCTGAGTCCGGTGCTAATGACGGGCTCGGATACCCTTTCTTATTCTTTGCCATGTATCTCATCCAGTACAATGAAGCTGGAGGAGCACGCAAAGCAATGGGCTTGTGGTTTGGTGAGACATGGGGTTACACTATTCTGCTGAGCGTCGTGTATGGAGTCGCCGTGGGCTGGGTAGCTAAAGAATTGCTCCATTGGGCGGAGGAGAACAAATACATTGATAGGGAGAGCTTCCTTGTCTTTGCTGTCGCGTTAGCCGTAAGTTTCGTCTTCTATTACTCTA